TTTGCACCTTTCCGCCTTAGTTGCTTAATCAAAGGCCACCTCCCAACAGGAGTAGCCAAACGCAAGTTTGATACTGAGCACAAAAGGTTTGACGTACCGGATCAGAAGAGAAGAGTGACCGAGATTCTCGACTCTTGCAAGAACTCTTGACATGCTTTCCTAATTCCTAAGAAGGCCAGACTGATTGCAATCGGCCGGAACTCTTGCGCTCGCCTCGAGGGCCACGGACTTCTTATTTGGGCCCGCAAAGGCAAGGGCTCTCTAGAGTTCTGTCAGGGACATGGGTCCATGTGAGATACGTTGGCCGATCTGGCGGAACGTGGCTAGCCGAGACGCCAGGGGGCGACTTTAACCATTCGGCAGATGGCATCAGAAGTACTCGTTGTTGTTGTCTTAGCCAGACAACACACCAGAAGTAAATAGGAATGATGAATGATTGGATGATGAACACGAGTACGGGTACATAAATTCTGTGGTTGGGTGTTTGGTTTTGTCGACGTTTCCTCCTGAGGCTTTCAATCTGGCCTAGCGGACTGACCTTCCGTTTCACTGCAAAAAGAGCTGATTTGTGGCAGCAACGAGACGTCGCACCGTGGTAGTAAACACCAAGGAAGACGTCCGACGTGTTATTTTGACACTTAATTTCAAGATGCGCGTTACTTTTCAGTTAGCAAGCAGATTGCAACTTGCTGTTGCTTAGCACGATCAAAACCAGCTAGGATGCGCTTCCAGTGCCAAAGGTCATTGCAGGTTTGCGGCATCAGAAGGACCGTACAGCATTGTTTGAGCAAGGTTCGAAAATAGCCCAATCGTCCTAACTTCACCCCCTGTCTGCCGCTTACCTTTGGTTTAGGGAACTGCAACCGAGATCAAATTTCCAAAGTAATTTTAATAGGAGCGTATCAGGAACCTTGGGATACAAGACTAGCCCCACTAGTGCTCACATCTCGTCAATCGCGTCATGCCAACAACATCGTGTGGAGAAAGTTATAAAACGGCAACATCGGGACCAGGACTTCTCCTGGCCGTAAGGAATTGCTGGAGGACCCTTCTGTCTTGGTCAAAAAGACGCGAAGATCCACGATCATAGCCAGAGAAGGATATCTGGTATGCGCCGACCCAGTCGCCCTTCTTCGCTGGGCAATCTCCAAGTGGATTTGCCAAAGATAAGCTCGCTTAATCAAGGAACAGAATGCAGATCAGCAGAACTGCACTGGTCGGAGGGTCCGCCGAGGAGCTTTGAGTTTGGACGACGGTTGGAGTATGTGTTGATCTGAATCGCCTCCGGCTGCGACGGAAAGTTTGCATAGCTTAGAGCTGTCTTGATCGTATTCACTTGCACGAGATACTACTTTGCTTTCGCTTCGCTTTCGAAAAGAGGACATGCAGCCCTTCAAAGATTGATTAGATCCACAGCCCGGTAAGGGGGATGATCAGTCTTTGTTCTGAGGGAATGCGAGTACGTAGGCGCAGTGAATTCACTGAAACTCTGAATCATGGACCCTGATTCCATCATACCCGTAATGACCGTAAGGCTGCTGATGTTGGGTTGAAGAGACCACTCTTACAAAGACCGGTGCCGCGCTGAAAAACGAAGGGCTCTGAATCTGCGAATCGCCAGTGCTCACGTGGGTTCACGTGGGCGGGTTGCGTACGCCCTGTGGATGACTGCATCGCGTAGAGGGTTTGTTGAGTTCTGTTGCCAGCGATCGGCGTGCCACTGGCATCAGGGGGTTACGCTAAGGTCAATGTCTTAAGTAGACACGAGACAAAGCTCAGTCACAGCCAGCGCCACGTAGAGATTGCCTTCTTTCGTTTGCCAAGACGCTCTGGAAGTGCGAGACTTTTGATTACGCCGTAGCAGAATACAAAGCTACCGAACAAACTTCGGCAGGAGTTTTGACGCATACGGCGTGTCTGCCGCTACTAATTCCTCAGCAAACTAGGAAAGGCTCTGGGCCAGAAACCTTCATTCCAACTTGCACCTCTCACCACCGAGGATGTCGTACTTTCGCTACATGGTACCTATTCGCGTTTCAGACTACCCACATCAAAAGCTGCATGCTTCACTAAAAGAGTGAAGCAGCAAAGGCGTCACTGAGACGGTAGTCTTCACACGGTTGGGCTGTGAAGTGCCCATGGCTTCCGGTCGGATTTTCACTCATCGCCTTCTCAAATTAGTAATTGAAGGTTGGCAGGGGTTCAGGAACGCCCTAGTACTTCCCGTCCCGGATGAATACGACTCTTTCGAAACATGGGGAGAAGGTCGCTTCTAAATAAGGTTCAAGACTCCGTTTGACTTACCACAACGTGAATTGGAGGTATCAACGACGACGGCTGGCCGATAGAAATTCCAGCAAGTACTGAGTTACAATGGATCAGGCAAGCGACAAAATCGTAGCATTAGCAAACAGTACTAGGAAAAGAATTGGGCTTATCCTTCGAGAAAAATCAGTACCGGGCTCAAAGCCTCTGCATCATTGCTGACGGTTTACTTTGAAAGTGATAAGGTAGGGCAATCACTGAAGCGCTTTCAAGGAGCTTTTATATCGTGGATAATCGAACAGCTCCATTCTACTTCAAAGATGAGCGCACATTGATTTGAATGTCGCAGAAACGAGACATCTTCCGGCAGGATTGTGTGCTGGAGTCATTTTTGTTTGAGCGCACTTACAAAGCCTATGATTCCTAGATCTATATTATTAGCCGTCTAGCTCTCTTTGAGGCCGCGCAATTGAGGCGCGCGACTGCATGGGCGCGCTGACTTAACCGTAACGACTTAATCCGCGTGCGTTACACAGCAGGTATTGGCGTGGATCGCACTTCGAGGGAATAATTGTTTCGCATAGAGAGATGAGTTCTCAAATGCTGCTTGTGGTGACGCCACACACCTGCTTTGACGTCGACGCCCTTACAATCGAGCGCCAATCCCGAATGGATTGCTTCGAGGCCGGGAGGTGGAGGCTATCAGCTGACCCGATTTAGCAGAAGTCTGATGTTTGCACGACTAAGTTGATTGAATACAAAGGCCCATTCGTCTTTATGTTACATATGTAAGTATGCCTCAAGGCTCGATTGGAAGTGAAAAAGGAGGTCGAAACCGCTCCTTCGCCATCAGGATTTCCGACCGCTGTTAAGTTGTCTTGGCAATTAGACATGCGCGAAGCTCCATCATAGGCTAGTCCAAAATTGACAACGTGCACCGACCCATTTCTAATCGCTTCGGTGACCACCATTCCATTTGAGCAGCCAAACAATCGCATTGTAGAAGCACAGACTGCAGAAAGCGGAGATGCAAAAGAGCGGAGGCTCTTCAGCTGCGCACGACGTTGGCTTCCGGCTCTTATGCGTAACACCGGCCGCGACCAAAGAAGCTATGGCTTATAAGTATCCAATCCAAGTCGTCTACGGACTGCGTAGTACCGTATTTATACGGAGCCCCCGCGGTGAGTCCGAGGGCTCCGACGCAGACTTTGTTCGCCGATTATCAGCCCACGTGGCTGCACGTGAGCTGAAATTATCGAAACTGCCGCTCACTGCAAGACACGCAGGGGCCTCGTTTCCGATTGGCAGATGGCATCAGGAGGATCTCCTCCACTCTTGTCTTGGAAAGACATGAGAAAAGCTCAATCACAGCCAGGGTACGGGTCAAACATGATTCTATCGCTTTGTGTCTCTTTTAGGAAGACTGTGTTTGACCACGAAGCTAACAGACAAACTCTTTCAGGCAACAGTCATCGAGCGTCTTGGAAATACGATGCAAACAGCTCTGCTTCACGGAGACGTCATTATGGGAGATACCTGTTCGGCTTCTCGATCCAACGGGCAAATTTGGGGGTTCTCAAGTCGTGCCTGTCTGCCGCCCCTCATAAACAGAGTTGGGCGGGGATCTGCCAGTTTCAAGTAGCCGGCTGTCTACTTACGCTCTTTAATGCCAGCTTTACGACCCTACATATCGCAACGTTGTCCGTTTTGGAAGACTCGTTTCGGATTTCAGAAGCAGTATCTCTTCTCGTACCAAGAATCCTCAGGCGCGGCTTTCTCCTTTCACAGATTCCCGCACTCAGACCGCCGCTTAAACGATTTAGAGCATTACCTGTCTGTTCAGAAAGGCCAGACCCTAAGATTACAGGAGCAAGTCGGAACATACGTTATCCGACGGCAATCTGAAGGACTTCACCGCCTTAACGTCGACCCGGACGGCTGACTGCCCGTCAATACATCTGCAATTTGTCCTGATACTGAGTTCTCAATGTTGGCAGTCATCATCTGGTGGCTCGTCCGGAACCATCTGATAGCGGCGCGCCTAGTATGCTGGCGAATTATCCACTGCTGCTCCGAAGTATGCACATACAAAAGAAGGATGGGACTGCTTGAGAGGGTTTCCATGAGCACCATAATGGGAGGTGGATACGAGGAATGGTCGGGTGTGATACGAGGACTCAGTTAAGCAGTTGCAGTCGTTGGGGCGCGTACGGCCTACTCAGCCAGTCCGTTCCGCCAGCTTGAAGTCCATTCCGGTGCGGAACCGGGACCGGTTCCGCTGCAATGAGCAGCGATGCCGTTTTGCTGCGGGCTTCGTCTGCTGCGGCCGCGATGCGCGTGAGCGCCAGCGGGTCCGTTCCGCCACTTCGAAGCTCATTCTGGTGCGGAAACAGGTCCGCTTCCGCTGCAGCGGACCCCGTTCTAGTCGTCGGCTGCATATTGAGTCGAGTCTTTGCTCCGACTTACGTATCTTCTGACGGATCCGATCCGCGCTGAACCGACCTATTTGATTTCGCTGCACGTACATGTTTGTTCTATGCAGAGGCAACTCGCAGCGTGCTAGTATATCAAAACATTCATATTGTGTGTGCAATTCTTAGCAGCCCAAAAAAGACGCGTGTACTCTTTCTCAGGCTGCAAGGGTACGTGCCTCGCAATCTATTCAGCGAAACGAGTATCTAATCACTTCCAGTACCAACAGTCGCTAATTTTGCGGCATCAGAAGGGTCCATGCAACTCTATGTGGGCGACGTGGGGAAAGGTCCCAGTTGCCCCAACCTCATTGCCTGTCTAGAGAACGAGTTCGAAGCGAAAAAACTTGTGCAAAGCACTTGCACGTCAGAAACCCTAAGCTCGATGAAAGGAGCAATCATTAACCCGAAAATGATTCGAGGGGAGGCTTTCCCCGCATGAAATAGAAGGTGCTATGTGATCGGAAAGTCTAGGGGACTAACGTGGTGACGTAACAAAATCCTCAAAGCAGGGGACATGCTCCTACTGAGATAGCTGTCAAAGTTGGAGCTTTGATGCGGGCGATTACTGGAGAAAAGCTTAGCTTTGATGCGGGCAATCACTGGGAAAAATTTTAGCCGAATTTTAAACGCAACGAGTGTGAGAGCTGAAGTTTCTGAGCCGCATACCGAATCAAGATAGGTCCTTCTGACCATCAACTGAGTTGAGGTGGGCCGTTTGACCAGAGAGTAAGTTGCAGCGCTCCGCTCAACGGGTAAACCAATTCATTTTCCCGTAGGCAGCATACTAAGCCAAATCAAAGGGGAAGCAAAAAGAAGAAAACGCGAGAACAGTCTATCTCTGTTTCCCATGCATGCAGAGCGATAAAACTCGTGACAAGGAAGCGGAAGGCTTCATTCAGCAAACTTTCAAAACGGAAATCAGACCCGAGGTTACGATGAGGTACCTGAGCATTTTTTAAACCCAAAAGCGTGATTCCTCCGAAAGGTGCCGATGCGAACGCGAGGAGCAGCTTCCGAAAGGGAGTTCACGGCTTCGTCGACGTTAAGGTCAATAACGAGCACCAAACGAGAGGTAGAAACCCGAAACTTATAAAGAGCAACAAGCACCGCTTGGCACCGAATCTCCCTTTCAGACATCGTGCGCGTCCGGTTGCATTTACAATCGTCACCATTTGCAGCACGATTCAAATCTTTACACGGCGCGAGCACTGGCCAAGCCGATCACGCTATATATGCACGATAGGTATCGGTCTTACCAAATCTAAGAAGAGAATTTGCAATCAGAACAGGGCCTGATCCAATAAAATGCCCTGATACACCCCGCCCAGCATGCTGGTTCGCGGTCAATAGGAAGGGGAGGAGAAGTTGCGTCTTAACATCTCATCGCGGCAAACGAGCCGGATCAGGATTATCACACTACGTCCTGGAAAGGAGGGACCACTCAGTCAACCGTTATTGCCTGCAGGCTTCACGATCAATCCAACATGACAGACATCCAAATCCAGCAGATTATCTGACATCACATTATTGCACATTCAAGTCAAACCTGGCCGCCTGACCCAAGTCCGATTGGGACCGATCGCAATTCTTGCCCGATGCGCAGAACTTGAGACCCTTCGATGACCCAAAAGCCTTTCATTGAACGGCCCAAGTTCTGCGAGGCCTGGCCAGTCAAGTCCGGTCAGAGCCAATCGGCAAACCTTTTCAAAGGAACAGACGCAGAACTTGGGCCGTTCGATGGAGCCTTTTTGCGTCATCGAAGGGTCCAAGCCCGGTCCAAGTTCTGTGCATCGGGCAGGTTCTGCGATCGGTCCCAATCGGTTCTCGGGTCAGGCGGCCAGGTTTGCCCGAATCTGCAATACTTTGATTTCTAAGCCGGCGCCTTTGAAGCACCAGACTTGCCATTCGTGCGTCTCATCAACTTCGCCCATGCATACTTGGTCACATATCTTGGGGACCACATGCGCTGTGAAATACAGCTTTACAAACGTTGCCGGGATTTTTTGACGGCGAAGCTCTCAGCATCGAGCTCCTCCTGGACGAGACTCGGATGGCTCTGAGGACTACGGTCCCTTCTGGCGCTCAAAACGGGTTGATTGATGCACTATATTCATCTCGACTTGGTTGACTACATACGTGCAAACCCCTTGCAAAAGCCCAGCAGAAGCCCCATCATTACAGTGCAGCTCACGTTACATCAGCCACTTATGACGTTCACATCGTTTGGAGATTATTACCACACGGCAATTTCCTGATTTGATTATGTTCTCATTGGCCGTCAGGACCGCAGAACGATTCTACGATTGTCAAGTCAGACATGCGCGAAGCTCTATCATTGCCAAAAATCACCTCGTGCACCTATCCAATCTTCACTTCGGTGGTGACCGTCAATCCAAGTAGCGAAATGAGTGTTACATCCGAGCACAATTTGCAGAAAGCTAACGGAAGCGCAAATTTTTAAAGGGTCGGCCGATGATTTGTAGCTCCACGTAAACGTCCCACATCACGTTCTTGATCTGAAGCATTGGAGGCGACCAGAGACTTTGCACTGCCAAACCCTTGTGATTGCGTCGACTGAGGGGCGCAGAGTCTTACTAACAGGCCCCGCTTAGGTACGAGCACTAAATTTTTCGTGCTGGATTCGTGGGTCCACGTGTGTCCACGTGGGTTTACGTGGGCAAGTTACGGAGGCACTGACGACATGCACAGGGTCCATCTGCAAATAACGTCAAAGACCCCTTTCAAAAAGTCAACATCGCCAGCTCGCGTCCAGTCCAATTTGCCGCGCGCGCTCTAAATTCTTCTTTCCAAATCAGGACGATTTTGATCTGATTACATTGAGAGTGAATAAAAAATGCACAGGTTCTGAGCACGAGCTGGGTGGAGAGCGCGATGATTACGAAGGCCACGTGGCGGCTCTTGGCCTCATGATGTCGACCTGGACATAAACTTTATGGGCGTCAAATCTTCTAGTGCACTGAGGATCCAGCACCTTCCCAATTAAACGGGCTTTCCAAGAATCCATCTCATAGTACATATGCACGCCGTGAACGGTAGCTGTTGCGTGACCATCAATGCGCCTACCCCAGAATATTACGCTGGACTTTATTATGGAATGTTTCTCCGTGGTTACATGCAGCTTCAGGCGGCGGTAACGAGGTGTTCCTTGACGAGATGTTGATTTCCCCCCCCTTAAGTCCCTTGAATCTGCGCTGAAGGCTGCCCTTCGACTTTTTCTCTTCTTCCCCTTCTTCCCCAATGATCTGGCCTCTCCGCTGTACTGTTTTCTGCAGGAGACTGTCTGTTTGAACAGGACATGCGATATCCCAAATCGCACCCGTGGGACTATATCGTAGCGAAATATGCCGCATCGCACGAGGTATCCATTGCAAACACTTCACATGAAAAATATGCAACTTCGAAAACTGGAGCGATCGAAAGGCGTCAGGGGAAATGTCACTCTGTGGATTTTGAATTGCCCACCGCATCCCGTCACACTTTTGATCACTGCCTTGTGTAAGCAATACCTTCGTACCGCGCGCGCGTACTGGCACATCCTGCGACGCACCCCATAACCTCAGCGCCTCTGAAAATAGTTAAAAAGTATGGATTCAAGGTAGGGCCCAACTTAAGTAGATGTATGCCATGATTCTCTTCGCCCGGCCGTATGCGACTCGTTGAGAAACTCGGAAAAGTTTGAGAGTCTGGCCATTCCTCTTCAAGAGGTAAGTCGTCAAACCCCGAACTGCTGGATTAGGAGAAACCGAATCTGATTCTAGCGAGTTAAAATGGTAGCATCAGCATTGAAGATAACGAAGACCGGTGAGCCAAGTCTTACAGGAAAGTTGAAGTCCCGCTCAGATATCTTGCATCATTGCTGAATGTTGCGCTAGCAACTAGATGAATAGGCAGGACGGCGACTGAGGCGACGTGCATCTTACCGCGGACATGTCAAACCACTTTCACAATTGTCCCCGTAATGAAAAACCGTTCAGTCCATACTATTAATCTGCAGGGATACAAACGGATCCAAAATAAGCGTCCAACAGCAGCAACCGAACATCGCAATGATCATCTCCGCCAGCGCGCCGGCTCAACTGGCGGACGGTTTCTAAGTTGATACGTCTCCTCCTTCCCGCCCACATTCGTGACCACAATTTTGCAAGGAGATACGTTGTCAGATTTTCAACCAAGGCTGCTTTGCAAATGGCGCGAACTTACAGGTCGACTCTTTTACCATCGACTCCCATGATTACAAAACGTTGGCTTATTTCGAGGACGTCCATGCTTTTCCAGAGATCAGAACCGCGCTTGAAAGAATCCGGGGTGCCATTTTCGGCCGGTAGAGTACTGACATCTATGGCGTCATAACTTCCACATCCTTCGGAGAAAGTTATACAACGGCAGCGATTTGAACGTACAACGTACTGCTTTCGGCCTTCAGGAGATCCGTCATGCACGATCTGTGCTGGTCAGACAGACGCAAAACTCCAGGATCATAGGCAAAAAGCAATGTATGCACCGATCCGATCGCAAATTTTACTCGACTTCGTCCAATCAGAGTAGCCAAAGAGGGATTTCTTGGAGGACAAATTGCAAATCAGCAGAATTGCAGGCCGAAGGGTCGGCCGAGGGGCTTGACTAAAGGAGGACGTTTTGAGTATGTGTTGAACTGAATCGCCACCGGCTGCGACGGAAGGTTTGCATAGTCTAGAAATGTCTCGATCGTCTGACTTGCACGGGATAGTACTTTGCTTTCGCTTTGCTTTTGGAAAGAGGACACACAGCCTTTCGAAGATCGAGAAAACGAAACGTGTGAGTCCTTGTTTCTGAGAGAATGCGAGTTCGTACGTAGCGATGGACTCAGAGATAGTCATAATTTTGGGGTTTGATTCCATTATTCACCTAAGCCGGTTGAAGTTCGGTTGGAGAGATGGTCAAACTAAAAGCGGCCCCGCTGGAAAACTAATGGCTCTGAAAAGTTTCCTCGGTGCCTACGTGTGTCCAAGTGAGCGGGTTCGGAAATCAGGCAGGACCTCATTCCGTAGGCCCTGCGGATGACTGGGTAGTACGCGAAGAGAGGTCGTTGGATTTTGTTGCCGATCGGCGTGCGACTGGCATCAGGAGGTCATGCTAAGGTCAATGTATTAACTAGACAAGAGACAAAGCTCAGTTACGCCAGCGCCACGTAGAGATTCTTTCGTTTATCAAGACCCTCTGTACTGCAAGACACTGGACTGCGACGTAGCAAAATACAAAGCTATCGAACAGACTTCGGCAGGACTTGTTGACTAACGTTCTCACGCATACGATGTGTATGCCGCTCGTTCTCCGCAAGGGAACGGCTCTGGGCCAAAAACATGCAACCCAACCTGCAACTCTCATCACCGACGATTCCATACTTTCGCTACATAGTACCTCTTCTTATTTCAGACTACCCACATCAAAAGCATGCTTCATTTAGAGAATTAACTATAAATGATAGCCCCGTTTAAGATCGTTGTGAGGCCACTTCGATCTTAAACGTACTCAGGTTTTCAGGCTTATTTTGATCTTAAACGTTGTGTCAGACCATTTTGATCTTAAAAGCTGAATTGCTGAGATCAAAACGGCCTCAGCAAACGATCTTAAACCGGGTATTGATTTATAGTGTCGAAGCTAAGCAGCAGTAATTTGAAAGGCGTCACTGGGACGGCAGTTTTCGCATGGGTAGGCTGTGAAGTGCCCATCGTGTCCGGTCGGATCTTCACTCATCGCCTTTTCAGTAATCGAATATATACAAGGGCTTAGGAATCTTATTCAATGTCCGTCCCGGAATTGGTTGGCAAAAGTGACAGTGGCTCTCTTCTAGTTTAAACCCTGATTGACCTCCCGCTACTCCAACTGGAAGTCGTGAACGTTGGAAGAGCCCAGAAGTACGTCCGGATGCTGAGGTACAATCTTTTCCGGACCACGCAAGCGAAAAGGTCGTAGCATCAGCAGACACTTCGAGCTGATCCTTGAGAAGGGTCGAAACCGGCCTCACGAAAGCCTGCATCACCGCTGTAAAGTTACGTTGTAGGTGAGAAGGCAAGGCAGTCACTGACGTCGCGACTCACCGCATTTGCATCGCTCGGATCAGGGATTGGACATCTTCACTCCAGTTTTGAGAAAAGGCGCACTGTCGATCGAGACTCTTGCGAAAGAAGATGTCTTCCTGCAATACCATTTACGGAGTCGATCGTTCACATGCCGGAATTCTGGACAGTCTACGTTGATCCTTAATGTAGCTCGATCTCTTCCAAAGCCGCCCACTTGAGGCGTGCGGCTCAGCCCAGCCGCGCGCGCCCCGGCCTACGCGCGCCCGTCACAACATCAGCCGTTTGAACGAAAGGTGCATAGCTGGGATCATGTCGAAAACACGACTTTGATCATTCCGCGGAGAGGCACGCTGTCCACGTACTGCTACTTTTTCAAGCACGCTTTGGCAACGGTGACTGACTCTTCCTCACGTCATGACGACGTCAACATCATTCGGCGAAGATTCAGAACGGCCAAAAAAATGGGAGCGGCTCCTAGCCATCAAGACGGTGCGACTCTTCCTTGTCCTGGTCAGACTTTTCTGAAGCTCCATAATAGCCAGAAAGCGAATGTAAAGCACCCAACTGCTATTCTGGGGGGCACTCTTCCTTAAGTTCTTAAACTCATCAACGCTACGTTTGAGCTAGCACAGACTGCAAAATACCGCAATCAAGTCGAAGAATCGGCAGAAAATACTCGGCTTTACAAGATGTTTGCAATACGCTTTTAATCTGTAAAAACGGCTGAGACCAGGAAAGTTGCATTGAAAACTCGCTGTGGGAACAGGTTTTTCTGAGACCAGGCCGAGGGTCAAAGGCGGTGCAGCATTTTGTTCGCTGTTGCCCCACGTGCGTCTACGTGGGCAGGTTAATCACCAGGCCCTGCGGATGACGAGAGATGCGCAAAGGGGCCGTTTTCACCTCATCACCTCATCATATGGCATCAGGAGTGACTTCTGCGTCGATGTCTTTGCAAGACATGAGACGAAACTCAATCACTGCCGGTGTTGCGTCGAGTAAGTTCTTACCACCTCCCCGGCCCGTTTTGTCATCAATCAGGCCGACGACTTTACCCAAAATGAAAAGAACAGCGACCGGTCCGGATCCAAGTCTCAGCGTCAATCAGCAAGCCTCTTCGATGGGCGCAAGATGCATACCAGAAGCGCTTGGCGACGGTTTTTTGGGTTTTCGGGTTTTAAAGTATTAGGGGTTTCAGTGTTTTAGGCGATAAAGGAAAGTTGCTTTGATTATGCGGCATCAGCAGCCACCGAAACGGCTTCATTCAGCCTTTCTAGTCGTCTGTGCGCCGCCCAAGCTCCCCACCGATGATTGGAGTTGGGGGGTCTTGCTGGAGCGAAATTTTAAAGTACCCTCTATACCGCCCCCAGAATAATTGACTTCGAAGTACTGTACCATCCGTTCTATTTCGGAAGACCCGGTTCAACTTGCTTCTCGCATACTTTGGATGAAAGAGCACGCTTCGAGAAGTAAGATCATCGAAAAGGCGTCAGCGAGACAGTGTACCAACCGTGATGGGGTTTCAGAAAACTTCCCACAGGATCCGTTCGCACTTTTGATCACCGCCTATTCAACGGAAGAAGCGACTCCTCATACGCAGTGCTGACAGTACATCAATCACGTCATGACGTCAACCTGGTTTGAAGAAAAACGTAACGGACCGGCAGATTTTGACACTTGGCTGCTCCTGGCTGTCATGACTACCAGCTGAATCTTTCTGTCTGTTCGGACATGCGAGGCTCCGTCACAGCCAAAAAGACAATGTACCGCCCATCCTGCTTCGCAGGTTTGCACATCTTGACCAAAGTAGCCAAAGCAACGCTTCCTCTGTAGGAAAAACTGCACAGATCAGCGGAACCGCACACTTTTCGAGAGTCGGCCGAAGCTCGTTAGCAACAGCTGGACGAGACGCTTCAGTAGGTGAAGTTTAAATACCTATAGCACCGCAGCAACCGAGAAGTTATATTCACTGAGATTCTCTTGAGCGTCTCGCACGCGCAAAGGCAAATAGGGGCCCCGCTGAAGTATGGGCTCCGCAGATCCTATTTGCCGTTACCCCACGTGGGTCCTTGTGGATCCATGAGGTTCACGTGGGCAACTTGCGCGCGCATAGGCCCGAAAGCGAAGCTGCGCAGAGGGGCCGTTTTGATGTTGGCAAACGGCGTCATGAGGAGAAATGCTCGTGTCTTCGGTAGACACGAATCAAAGCTCAGTCACGGCCGGCGCTGCGTCGGATACGATCCTGACGCTTTCTCTTGTTTTAAAGGCATCCGTGTAGTGCGATACAGCGAAGGCACAGCTACGAGCAGACTTTTGGCAGCAGTCAGAGGGCGTCTTTTTGGCGCACATGATGCGATGCACTAGATTGAATCCGCTCGGCGTGATACAGTAACAAATTTGTTTTGGCATCACGATCCGGGGAGACATTTGCGGGGTATTTTCAAGTTAGTGAGCTTGCCTGCCTTCCTTAGCTCGCTAGACCCGACTATAGATCTATTACTGCGTCCTTGAGAAATCAAAGAGCCCCTGATTGGCGCGAAAGACGAAAGACAAAATCTGAAGAATCTGCAAACAATAAAGATGGTCGCCCGGCTAGGGCGCTCCGAAAAGTCTCGATTTCGAGTGACGGGAAGATGTATGTGGCATACTGGCATCATCAAAGGAAAAGCGGGAAGAAGTCTGAATCAAGCTACGCACGAGCCCCACTGGTCTTGGCCGGGTGGCATCAGATGCTCAACAAAGGCGAACGTTTTCTGAGGAGCCCCATGAGTATCGGAGCTAGAAGTCCCAGTCACCTAGCTTTGGACGAGTCTCCTTGGTTGACAAGTGTTTCAATGGTTTGAAATGGTCACGCGAGCTAGAGATGAGAATCCCAACGGTTACAGAACAAGAACTAGACTAGTGTCGCATACTCTGACAACACTGGCTGTCACGACTGACGTCAAATCTGGGCGACGGTCTCATCATAGCCAGCGACGTTCACGCAATCTAAATTTGTCAAGACTTGCTGGCAGCTTCTTTCCCAACTCTAGAATTGGCAGCCTTGGCTTTTCTGGCCATATCAGTTAGTCGCCAGTTATCGTACTAGTGCTGATCATGCACTTGAGAACACCGAGCATGTTTGACGCGTTCGCAAAACACAGTTAGAGAGTTATTCTGACCGAACCTTGTCATCCTTGCGATGTTTGCCGCTCTAAAATTCGTCTTCAATTGATCAAATCAAACGAAAGGAAGATCATCAAAGTTTGAAAATCAAATCGGCCAGTTTCGCCGGTTTCAACTGGGAGCCTCGAAACGCGATCATTTGCGGGCAAGAAGTGACTGCAATACTGTCTTTTTAAAAGGATCAAAGCGTACTTAGACAGATGGCTGAGTGGCCGGCCAAAGGTCACAATGGATCTCTCACGGCGAGGATTTACCAGCAAGCCGCATATATGTGCCACTGAAGGAGGGTCGACATGCAATTCGACAAGCCACCAAAGGTGGAAGCCCAGACAAACAAATAATCTAACTTAAAAGGAATCGAAGTAAATATGCTCAGGCTGCTTCACCCAGGCACTGAGTCACGTTACTACAACCAACCACCACTGGCACTTCCTCGGTTGACCCTCAAATCTGTGAAGCTTTGTTCAAGAAAGTCGCCTAGCTATGGGCAAGGGGCCGCCGCCGCAAGGCCTTTTCAGAATCATCGTATGATCAAGCATTGCATCCTCGATTATCAGTCAGCCATCAGACACGGAGTTCACTATTGAGCCTGAGAGCGCCAAAATAGCAACATACAGCACTTTAGCCTCAGTGTCACAGTGTGACGATAACAACAGGGCTGTGAGTTTGCACTTTGTACTATTTGCACCAAAAACTGTTCGTCATTTGGCTCCAGATCGAAGTGCACTCGATCCAAAAGAAGCATTGCAGTCTCAGGTAATCAGATGTCTAATACTCTCTTTATCCTCTTCTCGAAGTCAAAATCTCATCAATAAGGGAGCGCTATTCGATTATCGATGTTTCGCGGATTGGTTGTTAGCCCTGCTAACCTCTTCCCAACTTCTCGCCTTCGCTCTCGTTATTCTTGGATCGACAAACTCGTTAGGAGCCAAGGGCCTTCTGAATTTCCGAGGTGACGTCTGGTGGGGGCTTTTCGGCGTGCAACTTCGAAACAACGCCCTTGTTCGCATAGTAGTCAATAACCTGCACGAGGAACAATCTGTCAGATACTCGAAATGCGGCACTCATAGCCGTGGCAGTATCCGTCTCTTGATTCCTCAGACGCATCCTGTGATTTGGCTGAACGTTTGCGAAAAGTTGCGTCAGCTGGAACGTGGTACCTGAAATCACTGAGAGGGTCCCTCATACCACGGAAAATCACTGAGAGGGTCCTTCGGCTGCGGGAAATAGAAATATGGAAACGGTTTCGTGATGCACACAGAACGTCCCGCAGGACTTTCGAGGCACGAGGACTGATGGCATCTGCGAGCAAACGCGGGGAAATCCTGTATGTACTTACTACAAGGCAGACGTCGTCGCTTCTGAATACAGGCATAAGGACACAGCGACGAGCTCGAGCACCTCTTAGACGAACTTCGTTCCACGCAACAACCGCTCAACATACCAATAAAACGTCCGTGTTTCCGGAACAAGAATACACCAAGCTGCAAACTGCCCGAAGTGACGGGACGGGCTTTGATCTGCACTAGAGCATGAAGAAATTACTCGAAGAAAAGTCCACTGCGACAAAAATGGGTTTGAAGACTGTTTCTGAGATGCCCGAAGATTCGCTGATAGCGCTTACGACAGCGGACTGAGGCACTCACCGGTTGCGTCTGTTTATGAAAGGCCTCCAGTCTGCTCTTGAGCGTCTCCGCGTTGTCGTCCTTCCGCTGAATCAGGGGCTCCCCAGTAATCTGACAAAGCAGAAACGAGATTCGTCAAGTCAATACAATATTCCTTTGTGAAAGACTGGACGACGATTTGCAAGCAGATCGGAGATGGCCTGAGCAGTTACGTGCTCGAAAACCGTCCCGCCTTTCACTCTCGTCGATCTAGGACGAACGGATGAAGGAAGATACGGACAGGCGGTACTGCTTACGTCACCCTGTATGGGCACCCTAAACCCTGATACTCCACAACCATTGGGGGCGCACTGCGCGGATTCAACTCAGTAGGACAACGAAAATAAGTCCCAACCCTTCATCATCATCTCAGAAATGGAACCAACAAGCAGAAACAATTCTCTGCTTGCGTCATCCTTGCTGGGCAACTCCGGGGCCGCCTGCTCAGTATTGTGCGACAGCCGGCTCTCTTGAGTGGACTCACACATCACTCGTCAATAAACCCGTGTAAACTTCAAAAGGAATGAACGGAAACACTGGCAGGCTTACGTCAGGGCATCTTCGAGGACGCAGATTACGCAGATCTGTTTTATGGTACAGCCGCCCGCCCTGGGGGTGGATCCACAATCCAATGCAGACGACGCTCTTAGGTGAATACCAGGGTCAGCGTCTCACTCCTTCAGCAACAGCTTTTTCTAAAACGAAGTCTTACGTCATCGATGCCGGGCACCTTCGGGGGCGCGAACTTGGTATAGTATGACCGCCTGCTCTTGGGTGGATCTACAGTACCTTTCGGCAAAAGAAACCGAGATGGTTTAAAGCCATTGAAAAGAACAGTCGTGAGGCTTACGTCATCCTTGCCGGGCACCTTCGGGGGCGCGAACTTGGTGTGGTACGACCGCCTGCTCTCTGGGTGGATCTACAGAACACTTCGGCAACGAAAACCAGATGATTCAAACCCAAGAAGGACAGTCGTCACGCTTACGTCATCCTTGCCGGGCACCTTCGGGGGCGCGAACTTGGTGTGGTACGACCGCCCGCTGTCGGGGTGGATCCAGCGCCCGGTAACCCGCTCCACCAACACCTGGTCCGGCACCTCGAAGTCGAGCACCTTGTCCACCTTGGCAGCGTCCTTGGCCAACATCGCGTCCAGCTGCCGGGAAAGTAGAAAGAGATTTTCGTCAAGCAAAAATAATCGATAGGGGTACGATAAAGTAAGAACAAAGTAGATTCATTAGCCTGGGATGGATGGGGTGGGTTTGGGGGCTCAGGGTGGGTATGGGTGCGGGGCAGGTGCTTTCGAGGGTTGAATTGTTGGTGTTAGAATAGGAGCTTCCTATTAGTAGAATGTAAGATTTTCGCAAGTAGAGTGGAAAGGACACTTCGTTAATGAAACCAGCAAAAGCTTGGGACTTTGGGACGTAGGAAGACGTTTCACAGATGTGTTTCGCAAATGTATGCTAGTGCTGTAGGCAACACGACCTCTGACCGGCTGGCCGCGCCCTCGGCCAGCATGGCGTCCGGCTGCGAGAAAATAGCAACATTTCAAACCGGAACAACCCTGACAAAGTTAGAATTCTGGTCTAAACCAACAAGTGGTGAAGCACACCACCGTAGCAGCAACATGGGGCCAATTGTAGTCGGAGTGGATGTTTCTCTTGGAAAGAATCTGAGCAACGTTGTGGAAGAAAGTCGGAAGAGTCCGATCTTGATTTTCTAAGTGAAGTAAGGAAACACAATGGCTCAGTCCTTTCAAAACCCAAGAGGGAATAAGCCGACTCTGGCGGCGCCATTGGTTCGCATAAGCTGATTGTCCAACTGTAAGCGGAGTCCGCATTCCAACATTGACGGTGCCGTCAAGCAGAGGTTGCCGATGACTGGGCTGAATACAGCAACCCAGGCGCTTCGCGACTCCTTGGCCAAAAACGTGTCAAGATGCTAAAGGAGAAGGAATGAAGCTGGTAGAGATGCGCTCAGGTATACGACACGAGCTCAGAGCTATGACGGTCCAAGTTGCGGTTACTAGGTCGGCTTGAATCTGTTATCGACCTTGCTACGCGTCTTCGGTTGACAGCCTCGTAAGTCGAGAGAAGCCGCTTTAGACTATCAACGGACTGTCTTCAATTGATAAGAGCTAGTCCGATCGAACAAAGTACAGAGTAGGTGACAGTGCATCCTGCCCGCGTGCTTCGAAGACGGGACTTACTGATCCAAACCGCAATCTTCTGTATTTAGAAAGCTCGCACGATAATCAAACCTTCAATCTACACCGCAATCTTCGTTGCTCTTCCATGTACTCACTGATCCACACTGCAATTTTCGGTGTAATTGGACTATGTGAAGGTCGGTGTAGGTGACCGGTTGTCAAAAATGGAACACGATTCAGTGCAGAAGACACACAATTGCAACCCACACAAGCTGAGTGCAGAAACTCTCGTCTTGCGAGCTCAAAGCATTGGTTGAGAACCACGAGTTCATCCTTTTCTGAGTACTTCCTTGGAAGGTCATACGCAGGAACCAAGAAGAGAGATTCAAGACTGATGGAAGGCCGCACTAGCTGGACATTCCAAACAGGCAATGACAGTGAAGTCGGTATGACGAAGTGCAAGGCAGCTGTCAGAACCGTAAACTTTTCAGCAACATTGGTTGCAGCATAATTCTAGAGCTTGTTCTTGATCCATCATCCAGCCGCCGTTCAAAAGGATGCCCTCACAGCATAAAGCCCCCAAGCATACTCTCGAGATGAAACAAAAAGGGATTACGCTACATGTTCTACATAACTTCGACAAACAGAAAGCAACAAAGAAGAGCTCAGGCAATGTAGACAGCAAAAGAACATCCCAGATCATAAGATCTGAAACCACTGAGAGGAGGAACGCCACCCTAATGCGACGCTGTTGGACCACTTCCCTGGCAATCAGAAGGATACTCCTGTCTCCTTGGAAGACTCGGGTGCTTCTTCACAGCCAGTAAGCTTTAAGACACACATGATCTGATCTTGTCTGACTATCGCTTTCCCAAGACATTTACGCCGTGAACGATGCCACATGTCGTGTGGGACCCCATTCTGATCAATAGGAAACTCATCTTTTCAGGTGCTGGATTGCCTTGTCAACAAAATACAGTAATCTACAGCAGTGACGTCAAAGCCACGTTTGGTCTTGCGTCATCGAACAAGCCCCAAACCAAGAATCAACACAGGTTCAACACAAAATGATTCACCTTGCCACTGCACCACATGGTGAACAGAGCCCTAGGCAGACTTTGGGTCTTCACAGACACAACCGGGGTTCGTAGTTTTCCAGTTTAGGCAGACTTGAAAAACACCCTGTGTGTGACGCAGGCAGTAACCCTTGGCCAAACCTATCTCTTCGACTTGCACCACTGTCTGGGGAAGGTTGCTAACAACAATGTACCGCGAGAAAACTCTGGACATAACCCACCTTCTCCGCTTGCACCACTGTCCTGGGGAACCCATCCAGGATGAAGCCCTTTGAGCACGACGGCCGCTTGATCGCCTCCTCAATGATCCCAACCACCAAGTCGTCCGACACCAGCTTCCCCGCGTCCATCGCTTCCTTGGCCTGCTTCCCCAGGGGCGTCTGCGCCTTCACCGCCGCTCGCAGCATGTCCCCGGTCGCCAGGTGGCACAGGCAGTGCTCCTCCTTGATGATGGGGGACTGGGTGCCCTTGCCGCACCCGGGGGGGCCTGAAAGAACGGTCAATATGATCTATGACAGAGCCATGGCTGATCTTGTGTGTCTTGTCTGTTCTGTTAGTGTGATCTAGTGCTTCTGTGGGGGTGGTGAAATGAAGAAGGATAGATGACTCGCTTTGGGGCAACTGCACTGGCTACCACCAGAAGTTCTTCCTTTATATTTGGGGACTGCGTGCCCTTACCCGCAATCAGGGGGACTGCAGGGAACGCAAAGTGGATTTGGTGTCTGGAAAGCGGCGACTGTTTTCTTGGTGCTTTGACTCGGCTGCTTCGCGAGGATGTGAATTTCGAAGAAGGATAGATGACTCTTCCCCACGGCTCCAATCAGACATTCTGCTCCTGCTTTGATTGCAAGAGACTGGGGGTACCAGAAACTGCGATATAGCTGATAGTCACATCATGGCGGGCCCTGGAAGTAGTTGCAGTTTCTGGGTACGACGTCGATCAACACAGCCATGCTTGACTTGCTGAAGAAAGTACGAGAACCTTGTGATATCACAAGGAATAAAGTTCCTGACAAACGTTTGGTTGCATACCCCTTCAAGCGAGCAATTTGAGCAACAGGAACGAACATAAGAGAAAATTCATACAGCTGACACTAGATGTCTTGGCCAAGTTGCAACAAACAGATGTGCCACAACATGGCCTAAAAGCAGCAGCCTCTTCCTTGTGCACGAACTCTCAGGAGGTTGACATTGCTGTTGAGCTACAACACGAATGACGGCACACTTTCTGAAGTGTTTTCAAGAAGTTGAGCCTGTACCGCAAAATAAGTCTCTCAACCAATTCTATGCTCGCTTGAAGTGATGGGGTCGCTCACTCTTTGCTGTCAGCTGGCAGATCTTTATTAGCAAGGTGACCCGAGAACTAGTACTACTGCTTAGCAAAGCCAGAAGAACTTCATTTCAAAAAGGAGAAATGTTGAAGACAGAGTAAGCATAAGTAACAAGGGGATTGGGATGATGGCATGAGAAGTAGCTTTTACCAGTCTCTGACGACGTTGCCTTTGGCCCACTTGCGCGCTGAAAATGCAGCATTTTGAAACAATACATTCTCAAGGCCCTCCTTCAAACTCTAGCCCGCCACCAACGAAATGGCAGATAGAGCGCCAGCAACTCAATGTGGTCCATTACCACCACTCAGGTTGATCCATGCCACTTCACGACCCCGGCGTAATCCACAAACTCAACCAGGATAAAGTCCAGCCAGAGGACTGACTGGGTTAACATCCTTCACAAGACGCCCTGCACTGGCAAGCATGAGACAGATGCATGCATAAAAGGAACCCAATTGAAAGTGGTAGAATAGGGCTTGGAACCAGTAATCTAAACGTGTCAGCCGTGACCGACCAAATCTAAAGGACTCACCAACCAGAATGATGCGCTTCTCGGGCTTCACAGAACACTTCAACCTCCGAAGCACTTCTTTGAAGAGCGTGTCCGCCGGCACATCAGCAAGATCAGGCGCGCTTGCCATCGTGCTTTATCCTTGTCACGCCAGGCAAGGTCCTGAAATGTATGTCAGCAAATCCGGCTGCCTCCCTTCGTATCCTGTGATTCGTCCCTTGAATGCAGGCTCACCGTCCAGAGCTTGCCCTCCAGCTTGGTGCTCAGCAGCTCACTTTCTCCAAGATGACCTGAATGCAACTTGCAAGGAGTCGTATATCAAAAATATCTTGTCAGATAAGCAGACAGCTTTCGATTTGTGGAGCGTCCGGGCATGGTCCTGAACTCGTTGCATACGTAGAACTTCGGCATTCATACGAGCTACGCTTCAGCTCTATTGTAGTACCGTAATCCTGGAAATGTACAGCCAGAGGGGAAAATGATATGAAACTTCACTTGCTGGCACAGAAGAAACTTTCTTAGATTCAGAAAGACGTCCTCGATCTGAACAAAAGGGAGGGCTCGTTTTCAAAAAGATCAGGCACTGGTTGCAAGCTCCTGGCTAGCAAATTCGTGGTTACCTAGCAGAAAAAGAGCAGCTCTCAAAGGTCTGAAAGGAGGCGCTTTCTCGTTGATCTTTAAAGCAGGGAAACCGGTACATTCAATTGTATGGTGCCTTTCTTGAGGCGCTATCTTAGCAGACACTTGGAGTGCACCTTCTGCGAGCAGATTCATTATCGCTGAATGTCTGTCCTAGCATTGGCAGAGCTTCTTTTCATGTGACGCGCAAGGGAAATTGGGGTTTGCATCCAATGCAAGCAGCCTCATTGGCAATGCACTCCTCTGTCCCTCTTCTCTCTGCGCCAGCTTCCTTAGAGACTGCATTTAAGCTGTCTATTGCTGCCGCCACAGCAATTGCCCGTCCTCCGAGCCCCACGCCTAGTTGCCAGCTCAGCCCTTCTGCAGCCAAAACTCAATGGGGTGAAGGGGACGGCTCCGTAATCTCCAAGTTCGGCAAGCAAAGCTGTGAGCTTGTGGCAAAGGGAGTGTATCTCAGCCCTCAATTAACAGTCAGATCAGAAGCTGTCAAAACCACTGCTGCTGTTGGGGTTCTCGAACGCTCTGAGCAAAGCAATGCTTCGCAGCGGCCCTATTTGGACGGCTCTCAAAGGCAGGGGTTTATGGACGACCAATCCGGACCTGGGGTCCCGATTGATCACAGTCTCGCACCCCAGTCCCTTGTTCATGAAAGCTCTCCTCATACAAAAACCATTTCAAAACCCCAGCCAAATGCGCAAGCTGAGAGCTCAGAGGAGTTGAGGCTTGGCCCCAGTGGATCCAATCTACTTCCTGAGCAGGAACTCCACCCTTCTTTGGCCACCTTTGCACCTGACATATTTGCAGCGCGCGCTCAACCCCCTTCACTTCTGGTGTTCTCTGGAGGGACTGCATTCAATGGCGTGGTTGAAGATTTGAAGCACTTCACGACGAGAGTGTCGCACGTGCTTCCTGTATCGGACGATGGAGGCAGCACGGCAGAGATTGTGAGGGTCTTGGGTGAGCAAGCTACCTCTCTTGATGTGACATGACGGTTCGGCAATACTTGCTGCCATCAAGTAGCCTTTTCAAGTCTAGCATGTGACTTGGTTTCAAATATTCCAAGAAGATTTCATAGCAACCCTCACTTCATGTTAAAATTGAGTTGTTCTCTCATGGGGTTGATCTTGACAAAGGGCTGGTCAATGCGTCCAATGACAAATACGTCGTTCAACACACCCAGGCACATACAAGCGAACAAATCCAGACAGGATACAGACTGAGTACATTGGATCGAAGCTGGACTTGATTGAAGCTGCTTTTCTTCCTGTTCAGTGTTGCGCAGACACACTCAAAGCGTTATTCTGATATTTAATAGACTCTGGATCCTAGCCAATCCAACTGTGCATCTGAGGCTGTCCAACCGCCCTTTCAGCATGTTTTCTAAAACAAGTCTTGCTTTCGTGTCTGCTTCCTTCCAGCAAGGCCCAGACATAGCAAGGAAAGTCCACTCACAGATTTTGCAACCTCATGACCAGGGCCTCCCAATCAAGTACTGATCTGATGTTGGAAGCAAGCCTTATGAACCAGCTTTGGAGACACTAGGCCTTGCCTCAGCCTACCTGATCTGACCAGGGTTCAAACAATGGCCACTAGCATTATCATCAAAGGGGATCAAGTCTTGCGCTTCCAGCGTCCCTCATGTTATCATGCTCTATCTTACATTCATTTTTCCTAATCAGGGGGCCCCGCAGTCGGAGACATCCGGTCTCGCTGCCTGCGACTCTCCGACGAGAGCAGCGAGGAAGCGCTAGCTGTCAAGCGGCTATTGGGCCACCGACTTCCGGTCGACGCCCCGGGGGCTAAGATGGAGTGGTACTCGATTGTGGAGGGGGAGCATGAACTGTGGACGGGAGTGTCGGACCCGTACAAGGATACAATCCGGGCGTTTTTGGTTCACTTTCATACACAGGTGAGCGGATCTGCGAGAATCGTCCAATGCATTTTGAGGAGTGCCGCGTGCGTGGGCTTGTAAAGTCGGAGTCTTTGCGAGTGTGAGTTTCTTGTCAAATTTGACGACCATCTGGACCTTCTGTTTCTTTCCTTGGTCAAAGGGGACACCGCCAGGTTCGACCACATCCAAGAAGGAGAGGTGAAAGCGAAGACTCATCCGAAATCACCAGATTTGCAGTTGCTTTGCGGAGAATCTCTTCTTCTGGGGGTGGCTCGATCGGCTATGTCTATGTAACCTGAGGGGTGCGGCGCGCCTCTTCGATGATGCATATGTGTCTCCACTGATGTTACGAAGTTGTGCCAATGAAGTTTTACAATTGCAGATTCTGCAGCACTTACTGAAACGCTTCCCCTTGGAGAAGGGCTTCGCCAGCAACTTCGTCGGCCCGCACATGCTTCCGCGCTTCTTCATGATCGTGGATGCCTTCTGAACGGATCCTAGGAAGTGATTCTGAGCGAAAATCTCTGCCTGCAGATTCTGCAACCCTCGTCGAAGTGCTTCTCCTTCCAGTATTGCTCCATCAACAACAACTTTTTTGCTGTACGCTGATATGCCGCATGGTTATAAACGCTAAGTTGAATGGCGAACTTGTTCGTTAGCTGTTACTGCAAAGTCGTATTGACAGATTTCCCCCCAGTGCAGATCCTGCGGTACTTTCGGAGCGTTTGTCCTTCCAAAACGGCTCCACCAGCAGCTTTTTTCTGGGCGCACGTTGTTCCGCCCTTTAACTGTTGTAAAATACCTCTCAAACTGCGACTAAGAAGCTATGTCTTATTAGTGCATTTCGCTTGTGCAGATCTTGCGGCACTCGTCGGAGCGTTTCTCCTTCCAGAACGGCTCCATTGGCAACTTCTTCTTCGCGGGCGCGCGCACCTTCTTCCGCTCCATGGACGCCGCGATCTTCACATACTCCTCCATTTCCGCCATTCCGAAAGACAGCCTAGTCCTTCCGGCCGTTTCCACCAACGACCGGCTCGTCCTCGGAGCGGAACTGCGGAACGGAGAGATCATCCGGGGGCAGAACATGATTTCACACCCATCGCCCGCCGAGCTGGAGCAGAGCGGCGTGCGCAATGTGAATAAGGCGCTCGGGGCGTGCCCCCCGCTGCCGTCGCCGATCAAGCGCGTGTTTTACATGTCGACGGAAGGGACGCATTTGCTACAGGAGGTGATTTTCTGCATACATCTCGCACATTTCCCTAGTAGCGTTGCGTTCATATCACGGTCAAGAGCTCTGCAAAGTTCGTCAGTGGTAGCCGTTCTGTGGGTCTGCTGGTTTACTATGAACGTGATTTCGTGCACAAACAGAATGGAAAGTCACCCAAATGCTATAAAATCGTGAAGTTCGGAAGAAGAAGACCGTGATCGTTTCCTCGATTCTTTCTCAAGCGGTTTCAGACTGCAGAAAGTCTTTTTGGGGGCAGGTTGCTCACACTGGGAGTTGCTCCTAGTTTTCTACAGGCATTTCGAGTTGTCCTAAAAGCCCTCTGCGATTGAAGCTCCGAATTAGGCTCGCGGTATCAATGAGTCAACTTCAATGCAGAAAATATGGTCTGGATAAGGGTCCGATTGCTGCCTGCTATCAGAAACAGGGAGTGACAACACCCGGGTTTGCTTCGGCCGCTCTCGTACAACCGTGTGCTTGTAGAATTGGGTTCCCGTCGGAGACCCGTGGACGGGTCAGAGGGCACCCCGAATCAGTGTCTGCTTATCACACGAGTCTAGGAAGGAAGGCGTTTTCGCATCCACTCCGTGCCGCAATGTGCTACTTGGTAGGTTTAATCTGGGAGCAGGTTCTTATAGTAAAGTTTACAGACGAGCTTTTGCACCAGAAGTGAAGTACTGCCGCGAAGATCACAATTCGGAACGCGAGAACCTGACATCTGAAACCTGGTCGGTACTTTTGCAGGTCCTTCCGTGCTTGATGAATGGCATGGCGGTTTAAATGTGCATCTCTGACTCAAGGTGTTCACGAAAGATACTTCAAACGTACTTAAAGACCTAGAGCAGATATGTGCAACTCTGACACGGATTTTCTCCACCTCCAGGTGTTCCCGAAGGTTAACCCAAACGTGGTTAAGAACCTAGACCAGGTCGACGCAATCATCTACGGCATGGGGTCGCTGTACACGAGCATCTGCCCCTCGCTGGTGAGACCGTGCGCGCAGCAGTCCTCTTCCAGCAAAGTCATGAAGAGTTTCGGATTGTCAACTCCAATCTGAGCAGCCACAATCGTACACGTCGTACTTGTTCAATTTGCGGATTGTTTCGGTTGCAAGGGGACTGAAGCCTCTAAGGTGCCAATTGCATCTCGAAGCGATTTTCGTTTTGGACTTTCGATACCATCTGGCCGATAGCAGAGAGCTCTCCAGCATCCTCAGGCTGCGGTAAGTTGGACCCTGGCTGGGCGCTTATGTTGTGTTCCCCTTTGCCCAGCTCTTCGGGCCTACATTGCTTCCCCTTCCACAAGCGGCTAGGCTAAATCAACCTGCAACCGGTTCTATGGTCCGAGAGGTAGTTCGCACGTCTGCCCGGAACCCAAGTGTGGTCAAGTTTATTGCTTAGAGGGCTAACTTGAGAATACCTGCCTTTTTGGTTCCGGGCAGACGTGCGAACTACCTGTTCTGGAGGTCTGGATATGGTGGGTTTACCAGCCACCTTGAGGCTGACCATGTGTGATTAAACATCTAAACTACATCTGCCATCAACCGAGGCCGATGTGTGCCTCGGGGAATCTTCAAGGGCAAACCGCGACCGTCCGTTCAGCAGAATTACCGATCCGACGGCGCGGAGCATATTGCACGCCCTCAAGCAGGGCGCTTGTGGCCCCTGCATTCGTCCAGCGGCTGGGGGGTCGCCTGCAATCCGGACGGTGTTTCTACCCATGTCTAACTGAGAGGTCTGCAAGATGCATCCCTGTTTCATAAACCTGGCGTGCTTACTGCCGTGCAGATTCTACGTGGCGTAGGGGAGGCTATCGCTGCAAAAGACTGTCCAAAGGTAAGTCCTTTCAGCTTATTCCCTGGCTCCAAGAATTATGTTCTTGCGGCGAAATCGAGCGCAACTGCTTTTGCGACTGACCGGAAAAGTGGGTCGTCAAATGCGAATTGGCAATCTGAGCGCGGCAAGTCTAATTGGTGGAAACTGCGCCTAAACCGCCCAATCTTGAGTACTTCACAAACCGCAGCACGTCATCAAGAGCATCTTTCACGTAATGGAGCACTTCGGAAAGGGGTAATATCTGAAGAAGGCTAGCTCTGTGTGTGCAGGCAAGTTTGAGATAAAGAAAAGCCTGGTGAATAAAGTGGCGCAAGGGTTTGTGCAGATTGAAAGGGTTTGGTTTGGGTGTGGAGGCAAGTCAGAAATCCACGAAGCTTGGTTAGGTCTGACTTAACCCGCGTGGTTTCTACAGGTGTTTCTACTGAACGGCACGCACGACCGGGAGACCGCCGGCATGGCCGCGTCCGACTTCGTCCTGGCGGTCTGCAACGCGTTGAACCGGACACATGGAGAAGACCGAGCGTCACGACTGTACTACCTTGTACGTTACTCTTTCTCAAACCTGCACCTTTCCACCGTGTTGTTCCACCGAGTCCAGGAGAAATAAGGCGTTGGATCGACTCCCGAAGCAGATGCGTCAAACGTTACCCCCTATTCAGGCGTTTGTGTCAATGGAATGGATCTAGGCGTGGTGTGACGTTCTGTAGATGATGCTTCGTATCGTCATTTGCGCAGTGATACTCTGTCCTGACTGCATCTCGCCAGACGTGGATAAAGACCACTTAGCATTCTGCTCTTGGAAGTTTCTTACGATCGGAAGAGAACCGCAAATGGTTCTGAAGCATCGGAAGAGAGTTGCTCTTTGCTCCACCTGGGGAGACAGAAAGCGCCACTCTAGTATGCGAAATCATACCTTTGGGGAAAACTACGTCTTTCCAAGGTCAGGGAACTCATCTAGAAATTGAGAGACAAAAGAGCATAGTCCATCGCCTCCGAACTTCGATATATGCCCTGTAATCGCCAAAGCAATCAAGGACATTGCAATACAGTTCTGCTGACGATGAACTTCGGGTTTTCTTTTTGCAGCCTCCGACGTACGTCACCGTGTTTCTTGTACCGGAAGGGGGCCAGATACCAGTCGACATCGAAAATCTGCACTCAATTGGGATCACACGAGTGGTAAGTATACGACCCGCTGTGCCCCGGAGTTCGATTCAGGGTGTCCTATTCAACTTGATTTTCTATCTGGTCACATACTTGCTGGTAGATACTTGGACAGGTTCAAACGTGCCGTTAAAAGTATGCAGGCAAGCGATTGCTTTGCACATCGCTAACGATAGATGAGCCAGGGCTGCTCCTCATTTTGTTTCAATCTCGTAAGATCAATGTCTTCTGCCCATAACGTCGTCCCTAGCTTTCCTCATAAAACAAGTCCGATTGGTTGTTTCGGACGCACTCTAGATCAATACTTACTCTTGACATTCCATTGCAGGTGACGGTACCTTCGGAGGTTGCGGACAACGGGAGCATCGTGTTCAATAGCACCAAGCTGATTGAGACCCTAGGGAACGTTATCGCCAGCACGCCCCCAGCTTTAGCCGACTAAGGCTTGGCTGGTGAAACATAGGCCAGCGATCGAACATTAGTTGCACGCTCGTCCGCAGCGGCTGATGAGCCAGCCAGACTATCATGTGTTCAAATTGGTCACAAAGTGGCCCATCATTGTGGTGGTAGTGACGATCTGCCGGCAGCGATTACGAGATTTTGGAAGGCGAGCGCTCGCCATCACAAGTCGCTAAGCTAGTGGTACTTATTATCAAGCAACAGGTGCATTCAGTGTTCGCTGCATTAGAAGCGCGCCCAGCCATGCCATTACTCTTTGATCTTTGTTGCCTGGCATGCCAAATAGAAGTTGCCAATCCTTCGAGGACCTTTGCCTAAATTATATATCGTCGCCCCCGAGCGCTGCGTTCAATCGGCGGGACGATTTATGAACGGAATGATCGTCCTATCGACTAGCACGGCCGGGCTGCGGTGCGATTGTTGCGCCCGAAATAGAGCAATCGCCTGCCGCCGTATACACGTGGCTAGAAAAAGGAGATTGAACTCGGAAACGTTCCAAGTCCACATACTATACGTCGCGGTGCACATGCGATTGGTCAAAAGTTGCCAGCTCAAACATCGATTGGGCCGGTTGTATAAGCGTGCGACATACGTACCTGGCCGCCCGTAGGATTGCGTCATTCTTGCATGTAACTTGATGTATACGCTACTTCTTGCATGGTATTCGCGCGCCATGAGGCCGGGACTCGTGCTAACAGCAAAGTCATAATTTGCATGCAAGTTGCATTCTTGACAAAGAGACCATGCACTGTTCAGCGCAACCTTTTGACCTTAGACTGCGCGGCTTTCAATCCTGGTCCTGCATGGTCCTGATCTAATGCTTCTAAACGCGGTCCAGACAAAGTCTGCGCGCTTAACGTCAAAGTAAGCGATGCCAAACGGTTTAATTGTCTTCTCTCGAATTTGACGTCTCGGTGCCGACGGTCAGTCTAATGCTCGGGCCTTCCGCAAGCATGAAGGGAGCAAGCAGAGCTTAATTTACGTGTTGCCGAACCTATACATAATTCTATGATTGTTTGATCAAAACTTGCTCTGATCCTCTTCTCAGCTTCCCGCAAAGCGAGCCCAGCTGGCTAATTTCTAAACCAGAAATAAGACGAGACTAGCGTTTCAAAGATGGTCGAAAACGGGAACAACACAAAGACGCCGTCGCCACGGATAACCATTCCTTTTGTAAGCCGCAGAATCGTTGAAAGGGTGTGCTCTGAATTTGCAATGGTAACCCGACGTCCAATCTCGACAAAAACACTTCGCCGCAGCTCTGTGATTTGCTTCACCCAATCCAACACCTCTCGTTCAATGAAGTTTACTCTCTTGCACTCGATTTCCCGTCGCTCCAAACCCACTCTTTCCCCAGGTCGAGGTGCCATTGCTTTCCGATCTCGCAAACGACTTCGCACCTTCTCCCCCATTGCAAACCCTCTCCCCCATTTCCCAGTCTTTTGACCAATATTTTCTCAAAACCGCTCATTCCTCCTTTCTCCATCCCGAATCGCTGTCCTCAAAGCCGACTCCGGCCCCTCCTCCCAATTGTCACCTTCATGAATACCGGGGCCTTTGTTGTCCGGGGGCCTTCCGTTTCCCCTTGGTGGAATAAATCAACACCCCAAACTTCGCTTCAGAAACTCAACGGCTCCCCAATCACATACTCCACCCCTCTTTCCAATCTCCGCCCCCCCCAGGTACGTGTCCGGTTATGAACCATTCTCGGTCCGGTTACACATCCGGATACAGATCCGGGGTGCCCTTTGAAGCGTCCGGGTACAGGTCCCTCGACCCCCCCGCGCCGGGCCGCTGCACCAGGGGGGTCCGCGGCGAGCTCGCGGCGACCCCCCCGGAAGAAGGGGGCCCCATGCCTAGGTTGCGGCGCATGATCTCGAGTTCCTGCGCTTGCGCCGACTCGACGACTTTCTTGGGATGGAGAGTGTCGTAAACCAGACTGTCCGTTCCGCGCCACTGGACGAGAAGATCTTTGTCCGCGATGAGAGCATCCTGGCCAAGACGGCTCTCAGCGGCGATCCTGCAAAAGGACACGTGGCAAATGTTCGTAGGCGGTTTTCGAGCAGGCGAGGCAATGGAGAAGAAAGCTGAACGTATGCTGGACTGTCCGCCGCGCCACTGGACGAGCAAATTGTTCTAATTGATCTCGCTGAACTAGGACCAGGTAAGGTAGAGGCAGCAAACGAGCATGGCGCCGTAAGGCAGCAGGCCGTTCAGGAATTAAGGTGACGAGAAAGTGTAAACCCGGCGAACCGCAAACCCTGAACACATCCCTGCACTTCAAGATTTCTTCACACCTGCGTTGAATGGTTCCGGTGAACTCGGACTATGTGAGGTAGAGACATACGATTGGTAGACCGTCCTCATAACCAGAAGAACACTGTCAAGCACACGGGATATGGAAGCAAAAAACTAAGCTCTCAGTACCTTAGAATCTTAGATCCTATCCCCAATTTCAACATGAGAAACATATTGTTTCCACGTGGCGCACCTGCGCTGGATGATTTCGGTGAAGATTGACCACGTGAGGTAGAGGCAGCAAACGAGCGTCGCCCCGTAGAGCAGCACGGAAGTTTAGGTGACCAGAAACTCCAAAGCCCGGCAAACCTTAAACCTTGAACCCACTTCTCAGTGCCTAAACCGTTCCCACTGAAGCGCACTGCTCTGAACGATCTCAGTGAGCTCGGACTATGTAAGGTCGAGACAGACGATTGCAACACCTGATTTGGACAGAGGCTGACAAAAGGAGGCAACTTTCAAAGTCCTGAAAATCTAGAGTCTACGACCCTTGAAGCCTGAAACCCTACCCCAAGACTCCTTGATATGAAAACATTCGCTTCCAATGGAACGCACCTGCGCTGGATGATTTCGGTGAACTCGGACCATGTGAGGTAGAGGCAGCAAACCATGGTGGCGCCGTAGAGCAGCAGCCCGATAATGGCGGTCGCGGACGATCCCGTCACCTCCACGAACGAGTGCGTCTCCGCGCGGATGACCGCGGAAAAGTTGGTCGGGCGGTACTCGCGTATGCTCGCCTGCAGCGAGAGAAGTATGCGGTTATCAACGAAAGCGGGTCGTTAACCCAGGGAAAATGGCGGGTTAAAGCTGTTACTCGAGTGCTCGCTGAAAAGTTGGTCGGGCGATTCTCTCGCACGCTCGCCTGCGCTTGGGAGGAAATCAGGTTATTAGCGAAACCGGGTCGTTAATCCAAAGAAATTGGCGGGTTACAGCTGTTAACCAGGTGGGCGCACGCTGGTTCACCACAGAGAAATGGTCGGGCGGAGCTGGCGCACGCTCGCATGCAGCAAGAGGAGCCCGTCCTTTTCCGTTAGTCAGGTTACGAAGTTTCTCACCAGGAGAATCTCGTGAAATCGTGTCTGGCTTCCGCCGCTTTTGATGGATGCATTCGCAGCGCTGACGAGGACCGCAAGAGGAAAATTCCTGAGAACGTCTTGCGAGGCAACTCAGAAGCCTGCATACCTAACCCGCCAAGACGTGGCTGGAGAGGGAGCACTGATTGCAAGAGAAGCTCCCAGGCAAAACCCGCGCACATCGGGCTGCCTTCACAGGATAATCCGCTCCTAGGCTCTTCCACAGGTCTCCAAATACCCCTGTACTGTAGGCTATGTAAAAACCTCTTATAGCAGCTGGCCAATAAACTGCAGCGGATAGTCAATACAATCATATCTGTGAAGCTACCTCTAACTAAAATGGCTTTAATCTCGTTGATGCAGCTCCTCCAGAACGCCCCAAACCCGACCCACCTGCGTATACGTCGTAACCGTGCTCTTGTTGCTCAGCGACTTGCTGATGAGCGCAAAGTTGGGGATGTTAAACAGCGTCACGACCACCGCCGTCACAATGAGCGCGAGCGCGCGCGCAAAGTTGCTCGGGATGCGCCGCCGGCGGTAGAGCCCCGAGCGCGCGATCATTCGCGCGACCACGATTCCGCTCGTCGCGAGGGCCACCTCGACGGCCAGAACGGAAGCGGCATTCGCGGCTACGCCGTCCAAGTGGAGCTTAACCTGCGGGGTTAACGTTAACTACGTTCGGGTTCGGTCAATAACGACGAGCGCAAGCCCGCACGCGAACTTGGTTCGGGATGCGCCGGCGCCGGTAGAGCCCCGAGCGCGCGATCACGATTCCGCTCTTCGCGAGCGCCACCTCGACGGCCAGAACGGAAGCGGCCGTTGCGGCGACGCCGTCTAAGTGGAGCTTAAGCTGAAAAAGGTAAAAGGGAATCTGCTTTTCGAGCGTGGATGAGAGAACGACTTGAAGCAGGGAGTAGAGACGCCAGGACAACACAGTCTGAGTAACGACGAGCCGCTGATTGAGAGAACGAATTCAACGGCCAAAACCGTAAGCGGCGGTTTCGGCGACGCCGTCCAAGTTGAGTTTGACCTGGAAACAAGAGGCGAAGGTTGTACTTTCCTTGACCTCTGGTTTAAGAACAAGTACGACTTGGCGGGGATATCAATCGAGCGGACCACCATCCTTGCAGTTCTTGCAAGCGCTTCTTCGACGGCCAACACGTAGGGGGCAACTTGGTTCCTTTCAAAGAACCTGCGGGTTTTACGCTTCTATGACTAGAATAGAGTGGGTGATACTGCAGTTCTTGTCAGTATCAAAGTCCGCCGCACTTTAGGTTAACACCACCAGACTCCTGAGGTCCTAAGCAGAAGCAACTCTGAACCCTTGTCTCTTCCAAGGGGGGCACCTCCGTTGACGACATGAGGAAGAAGTTGTCCGTCTCCGCAGTTTGCCGCAGCCTTGATCAACACCGTCAACGGATCCTGAAGTCCCTTAACCTCCTAGTTCAATCGTGCGAATTCGAAGTCCCTGAATCTTCGGAGTACAAAATGGAGGCTCACCTCTGTTGACGACACGAAGAAGTTGTTGTCCGTCTCAAAGTCTACCGCAATTTGGATCAGAAGCACCAGACCCGTGACAGGTCCCTAAAACAGATATTGACAGAAGGGAACCCTAGACTCTTCAAAATTCTGAATCCAAGGCTCACCTCTGTCGATGAAACGAGGAAGTTCTTGTCCGTCTCAAAGTCCGCCGCCATCTGGGGCAACACCACTTGGATGTCAAACTTGTACCGTATGTTCGTCGGGTCCGCGCACTGCTGCAACAACGACGCACGGTCCGCCGCCGTCGGCTGATCGTCCGGGTCGAGCCCCAAATACGTCACGACGCCGTCCGTTTGCTGCGCCGTGTTCCCGAGGAAGATCGCTGCGCACTCGTCCTCGTTGAAGTTGATCGAGCCGCTGCTGGGCTGGTTCACGCCCATCATGGAAACGCACGCGCCGGTGGCCGAGTACGGCGCAAACGCGCCGACGAGAGTTTTGTTCGTGCTCCCGTCCGTGATCGCCTCGTTCTGCCCCGTGAGCTGCACGCCGTACCCGCTCGCGAAGAACACCGGCGCGCAGCGACCGGCGAACCCGAGCTCGGAGACCGACGCGAGCGGTGCGAGGGTGTAGTTGACCGTGCCGATAAACCCGTTGTACGCGAGAATGTTTTGCGCGGCTTGGATGGTCAGATCCGGGGTATCGTAGAGTTGAGAGCAGATTCCGGCACTGGGCGGCAGATCCATCACGATATTGAGAGGGACTTCCCCGGGGGTTTGGATCCAGCGCAAAATGCGCGGCCCGCCCTCGGCGCTGAGCGAGTAGAGGATGCCCAGCGACCCGTCGCACTGGCTGAAGGGCACGGCGGCCGCCTTGATTACGGTGATCATGTTGGGGACGCTCGTGCCGACGAAGATGGGCGTCCCGCCGACGTTGATGCACGCGAAGCCGGGCAGCTTTTGGAACTCGGAAATGGAGCCCGTCTGGGTTTGGGGGGCGGAGCCTCTGTGAAGATTGGAGAGGACTTACATGAGTCAATGACGAGATTAAGAAAGTACTTGATGTTCCACTATGGAGGTCTAAGATTTCGGTCCTCTCTCAGCATTTCAATCTCAGAGAGTGTCAATTGAGGCCCCTTTTTGTGAGTTGGCTGTCTTGACCTTCGTGAAACGTGTGGCCTAATGGGTGAAAGATGTGAGGTGGGAGAGCTGAAGAAAAGACAAGTGAGAGACCATGTGTGGGAACTCTAAAAAGATGAGCGTATGATAACATGAAGGTCTGAAACATCAATCCAGCTGTAGCATTTGGATTTGTAGATCAGATGGCTAAATATGCTTCTTTTCATCTTATTGAGTTATGCGACCTACTGGTTGATACACGTGATGGTAGGGAGCTGAAGCAAAGAGTTGACAAGTCACCAAGCGTCCCTATGCACATCCAGGCTAGACATCTAAGGTATAAAACAATTGCAAAAGAAGGACTAGAAAGAAGGGAAGTAGACAAAAAACACAGCATTTGCCAGGTGTTGGGCAGATGCAAAAGACCAAGACCCCAAGGAACTCAAAATACATATGCATATGGAGTATTAATGAAGACCCCGATATTTGACAGCTTCTCTGGGTTAGGAAATTGGCACGCAGCAATGGCAAAAGGTAACGCGGTCTGCATCAACTGCCCAAGATGTGAACAATGTTTGAGCAGCACTTCTAACTGCTTCCCCCCTCAAGGCCTCCACCTTGAACGAGACCTGAGCCGTCTGTTGCAGCAGTAACAAGATTAAGGGTGAGGGGTGTGGGCAAGGGTTAGGAGGCACTCCAATGGTGGTTCGCTTGAAAAGGGGGCCGGCGTAAGCGATTGATACTCTATTCAGGAGCTGCATCTGGGACACAATGGTATGTCTAATCTGTTTAGCGACCGAGGGGAGTGCTCTCATGACTGCCTGTTTATTTATCACATAAGCAGAGGCAAATCAGAAGCGTGGACCGTGAGTACACAGAGGGGTTTCTCAATGTAAAGAATGTGTGAAAGGGGTCTGGATTAGGGGGTTGCCTGCATTACTCTGCCGGAAGCGTCTAAGTACATCACATTCACATGGCCTCAAAGATCCTGCTCAAACAATGGCCATGACATGGCTCTCAGATGTGGTGTAACTTACGTCTGAGATTGTGATAGCAAGAAGCAGAGCTCAAGTTAGGGATAAGTACCTGCAAGGAGGCGGCGGCGTCGCCACCTTGTAAAAAAGCTTGGTCTTGAAGATCCCGTCCACGTATAGCAGCTGCTGCTCCTCTGGCTGCGTCAAGAATGTGTTAACAACCGCTTGGGGCGCGTTGACCAGCCATCCGGAAGCCCCCATCGCCGTCTTGACGTGCGAGAGCACGTGCGTTGTACCGGTCGCGTCCGTTATCGCGGACGCGATCAGCCGGTTGACAGCAAAGCAGCCGTCGTCCCCGCAACGCAGCAGTCGGAAGAACGACTCCACCTTCACCTTCCCCCCGACCGTGCGCGTTTCGTACAGCCCCCGGACATTTGAGATCTTGGCCGCGGCGGTCCGAGGCGTGTCCGAATCCGCAATGTCGTTCACGTAGTTGTACACGTTGGTCTGCACGTTGCGCTGCGAGAGGATGGCGTAGTAGTTGAGCCCGTTCTCCGCCAGGCCTAGTTTGCTGATGTAATAGCCCCCCAGCTCGCGTGTCACCGTCTTGGGCACCACAATGAGGCCCTGCGCGGCGGCATTGCCAACCCAAAAAGCCAAGAAAACAAGCTGCACTCCCAGAAGGAGGGTTGGATGGAGAGATCTGCGTCCGGCAATGGTAGCCATGGCGGCGAACGAGCTGGCACTGAAATGGGAGGAAACAGGGAGCTGGAAGTTTCCTGCCGAAGGAAAGATCCGAAACAGGCATGATCTGGAGGAACTAGCTAGTTAAAATAGAGAGGACAATGCTGCCCATGTAAAGAAGCGACATAGCACTCCCCCGTCTGCTTTTTGAATTGGGCAGGTCAGCTCCTTTGTCAGGTACTTCCTGTACTTGGCCTACCATGATCCATCATAAAGGTAGTACGGTATGACCAAGGTACGTAGCTCAGACTCAGAGCAGAGCTCTCTACCCACACTGCTACAGCTAGCTGGTATTTAAGAGTAGGTAACATGCACATGCCGCAATGCAGCAGCAATGTTGCCCGCACAAACATCGTGCCGAATCGTGGTCCATCATCCATGTGTATTTAAGGACACCATTTTTCCCACACTGGTTTCAAGTGAAAGCCGCTGATACCGGCAAGGTTCTCCAAGTCGAGGTTGAACTTGTCTGCGCCGCTAAAGCTTCCTAGTAGATTGCTGATTTGATTATGATTGTCAGGGGATTGCTGCTGCTTGCGACAGCCTGCGCGAGCATCATGCACCGGTACCAGCTTGCGCCTGCCTGGATGAGCCCCCTCGGAGGCCTATCCTGGACCCGGAGGTTGCCAGAGTTGCCCGCGACGTTGCGCGACTTTCTGCGATTCTTCGCGACTTTACGCGACTGCTCCGCGACTTTGTTTCGCGATCTTCGCGACTTTCATCAAAACCTTACTAAGCTTTGGGAAACATGTTTCCAAGCAAGTTTTGTGTTTAGATGCTTGCAATGCTGCGCGACGTTACGCGACTTTCCGTGACTTTACGCGACTTTCGTCCGCGACTTTCACCGCGACTCTGCGACCTCCGAGTCCAGGATAGGAAGATTTCAAATTGGGAGTCGAATCTGAGGCCGTAGTTGTTCTAGCGGGGCGCATATCTTTCTGATCTGGCAGCTAGGC